TACGCAGCATTAGGAATAAAGCACTGGGTGATAGTGCCCAGTTGGGCCGGGGGGAAGAGGAGGAGAGCCATACTGGAAGGATGCCTATTCCGTTGGTATCGGTTTATTCTAAATTTGGGGTGCGGGCGAACTGGGTCTTCAAAAATAATTTCAGGAGGATAATGGCCGGAACAAGGCTGGGGGAGGGGTATAGAGTGATTTCGGCTTATAAAAAGAATCTGAATCTCCAGGACCTTCTGGTTAGGGCTCGACTACCACCCATGAGACCCCGTGCTAGCCAGGTACCCGGGGCGGGGTCAGTCCAAGACCATCAGAATCGAACACGTTATTTGGCACAGCGGGGCTTAACGCTTTCATCTGCCAATGTGGTCTATTTAATCTTTTGTCGGAAGTGTGGCAAGCAGTATGTGGGGGAAACTAAAAATCCCCTCCGGGTGAGAATGTATGCACACCGGCATAACATCATCCGGGGTAGGAAGCTCAATACACACTTAGTACAGCACTTCCGCGAACATGGGATCCACAATCTTGGGGTTATGGGTCTAGAGAGTAGAAGTGGTTGGTCATGGCATGATCATCAGCTGGCGGAGCGTAGATGGATTCGTAGGCTTCACTGCCTATTTCCGGGTGGATTAAATGATTTTTAGTTCCCATTGGTGAGTGGTTTGGAGTCTGTGTTCAGTTCTTTCGATGGTTTTCACGTGGTCCGCGACCTCTTTCCTTCTTTAGTTCTTTTTGGGCCAGTCTCCGTCTCCCCCCTTTTTCCCCCCCTTTTTCCTTTAGACTCCCCTCCCCCTTTGGGGATATGATGGGGAGGAGGGAGTAGGATAGCCGGTTTCGGCAGGTGGTGGTTGAGGTGTGCCTCACTTCCCACTACTGTTCCTGCTTCCTTCTCTTACTTATTCTTTTCTTTTCTTTGGTAGTACTTATTAGATGTATACGGGTTGGATTGATTGGATTATTGTTCGGTTTGGGGGATGGTTGGCGGGTGGATCTGTTTCTCTTCTGTTTCTGACTCCCCTCCCCCTCTTTCCCCCTTTGGGGATATGATGGTTGAGGTGTGCCTCACTTCCCGCTACTGTTCTTGCTCCCTTTTCTTTTTCTGTTTCTTTGTAGTACTTCTTAGGTGTATCGGGGTTGCATTAGTTGGATTATTTCATTTTTTCCCTCCTCTTTCTCAGCCTTGGTGGAGTGGTGTTATGGAGGGGAGAAGAGATGGGGGTGTGAGGATGGAGATCCCGGGAGCATCCCATCAGGGGGAGCCACATAGGAGCACCTTCCAAAAATTGGTTCGGGGATTCTTCCAAATGATGAGAGTTCAACACCATTTGGGGAAGGTCCGCCGTTCAGGGGGTGACCTAGGCACCCCCCGTTTTTTTCAACAGATGGAGGCTTGGTTGAATTCTTCCATTTGCCCTGCAGTCCCCTCAACAAACACGGGATTATGGTTGCAGGGAAATAACAGGAACTGGTCACACACACCACCTTGCAAATTTTGGAGGAACACTACACGGGGGTGATGAATGGCTTGCGGGGGACCTTGTCCACACTCCCAAAGGAGGAGGGAGGGGCGGCCTGGGAGGTGGCGCTTAGATGGGCCCGAAGAAGGAACAGGAACCTCAGTCACGGGGCCATTGAGGGGACGAGGAGGATCCTCCAGGAATGGGGTTTTCCGGGACCATTCCCGGTAACGGCTGTTCCTTTTTTACAAAGGGGCAGGCCCAGAGAAAGACCTAGGGGGGGCTCCCGCGGACGGTCCCCTAACCCATCCACAAGCCGGGGTCCTTCTAGGAAGGTGCCGGATTGGGGAAGGGTACCTCTGGAGATAGTGGTGGGGTTGGAAAGAGGGAGCAGCGACTACCGGAGCCAGAGGGACTTTTATCAGTTAGCCGGGAGGCGAATTTAGGGTCGGGGGATAGGGGTGGGGTGAGGGAGGTGGAGGGGGAAGGGATATTGGTGAAAGGATTGATCAGTTTGAGTCTTACTAATTTGTGTCCTGGGACAGACCCCGGCCTATAAGGGGAATAGTTAGGCTCCGGTGGATAGTTAGGGGGCAGGTAGGAGTAGGTTACTTTAGCTGGGTAGCCTACTGTGGAAGGACTGGGTTGCGGTTCCCGGTTGGTGGCTCCGTTTTGATTTGTGGCTTGGTTTCATTTTCTTTCTTAGGTCATTCAATTGGTTGTATGCCTTCTGTTTAGCTGTCTTCTCTTCTACAATACTTTGTTACATGGAAATCATGAAATAAATAAAAGAATGTTTCAAGATTAAATTAATGTGTTTTCTGGCCCAGTGTGGGTTGACTGATGTATGGGGGGTTGGAGTGGATATGAGGAGAGATATTTTTGACCGGCAGTTGCTGGAGGAGATAAAGCATTCTGACCACTCCAAACTCCCCTTCAAGGATCATTTTTATCATTTTTTCATCATCTTCTTCTTCATCACGGTTGATCTATCTTGGATTTAATGGCTGATGGATTACGGACGTTGTTGGTTTTATATTCTTTACCGAATTCGGGTGGGAATTGATCCCTAACGGGGTTTCGTTTTTGGCCTGTATGGTCCTTCTGGCGCTTCGGACGTTGGGGGGACCCTAATCCTAACCCCCTTGTGGGGGAGTTACTTAGGGAGCCCTGACCATGATGTTTATCCTAACCTTAACCTCATTGTTTTAGATCCCGTTTGGATGGCATCTTCAGACATCCTATGGTTCGGATCAGCGTTGCAGATATGGGTTTCTTTTTTTCTCTCTTTCTATTTCTTTCTAATTTATTATCTATTTTCTTATTTCTTTTCTCCTTTTTTCTTTCTTCCTCTTTTCTTTCTTTCTTTTCTTCTCTCTTTCCTCTTTCTTCCTTCTTTCTTCTTTATTTCTTTCTCTCTTCTTTTTATATATATATATATATATATATATTTTTTTTTTTTGTTTTTTTTTTTTTTTTCAGCTTATGGTTGTGGCTTGAAAATCAAAACAATTCACTGAAAGACACTAACACGTTCTGTAGAGCTTAGGTGAACTACAGTTGGGTGATGAGTCTCTGTGGGTTCATCACAATGATGGCTCATTTCACATACTCATGAGATCCATTGAAATTACAGCTGCTTTAAGCAGTACCTCAAATTGCCAAATGGTTCTTAAGTACAGTACATTTCCTAAAGTAATTTTAAATCTTATGTCATGGAGTTTGGTCAGAAAGTGACCAATCATGATCTACCTCTTTTCTGTATTTTATGGGTTAGTCTACTTTGTAGGCTGAAAAGTCCGCAGCCATGAGAACGTGTAATCCAGCTTTATGTTGTGATAGTCCAAGCAATCTTTTGTCAGCAGTGCATTAGGCTTTGAGTGCTCGCTACTTTGTGTGTTCAGGTGTGTCTATCTGAAGAATCTGGAGTGGGACAATCGCTGACCTAAATCTCTGATAAAACTCTACCTCTGAAATCTCACGGAGGCTTTCTATAAGGCAGCTAACACACAGCAGCTGTGAAAAGAGAGAGTGAAAAGAGAAAGGAAAGAAAGGAACATGGAGAATTAAGAATTAAGAAAATGTGTAAAAGATAAAAGGAAAGGCTGTGATGACAAAAGAAACACTGGAGGGCAGAGGAGGGCAAGTTTACAACATACGTTTGGAGCAAACAAAATTTTACATTGTACATTTCAGTGTGGATTTCTGACCCACAGTGTTCAATAGTCCCTTTTCACAGATATTCTGATATAAAATAGTAGGATAATGTTGCTCTGTGTCTATTATGTGAAAATATACAGCTGTTTGCTAACTTTAGCCATAGGAGTGTGAGAAATAATTGAAAAATATCATATCGCAATATTTTGTTTTGTGCTATTGTATCGATTCTCAAAAACACGATAGATTTTTATATTTGAAGCTGTTTAACCTAGTTCTTTGTACAATGACAATTTTCCTAAAATTAGATTTAAATTAAAAAAGAAATTGCAATCTATCGCCTTGTTTACAGTATCACAATATATTGCAATATACTGAATCGTAACCTCTATATTGTGATATGTGTTGTATCACCAGATTCTTGCCAATACACAGCCCTAGTCAGCCAACAATAAAGGTGATTATGGCACGACTATGTGTCTGAGTTTTACAGGAAAGAGGGTAGGAACTGGTAGGAAGATGTAATTAATGGTATTTGTTCAATTGTTTTCAGTTTACAATTAAAGCTTTTTAAGTATTCTTGTTCAAGGGCTCGCTGCAGTATCATAGCCTTTATTTTGACTACTGTCAGTCTGGACAGTGGTAAAAGATTCCAATAAGAAAACAATAAGGACATTACAACAGGCCAACAGTAAAGTTTATCAGTCCTTCAGTCCAGCGAGCTCTAAACTGTCCAGATGGTCAGATGTCTTTGAATGACCTTCCATTATTGTGTTGTAGATCATAAACTGTGCACATTGTTCTGCCACTTAAAGGACATCTGTCAACTTTGAAACCAAGCCATGTCCTCTGTGTGGGTTTGTGTAAATGTTATGAAGTTGTGTGTGAAAGTAAACAGTCCTCACATGGAACGGTCCCTCTTCCGAAACACTCCGATTCATTCTAACCATGCAATCTGTGATAGATGAGGAGTGTGTCAACACAAGCCTTGACAATGAGAAATTAGGTTAGGTAGAAGAAGCAGACTCGGACTTCACTCTTTCAATGGGGATGTGATTTATGATCTGTGTGTGTTTTTGTGTGTGTGTGTGTGGGTGGGTGGGTCTGTATGAAGAGGAAAAATTACTTTATTAATCCCCAAAGGGGAAATTCAATTTCTTTGCTTTTTTTTTTGCCGCCCCGCAGCAGTTAGGGGTTCAGGACCTTGCTCAAAGGCACCTTGGCATTGTCCAGGTAGTTGACTAACACCTGCTGTTTGATGCACACATGTTGGAGTGGAGATGAACTAAGATGGGGTTGTGAGTTGGATATAGTGAGGGTGTGTTTAGGGAATTCTGGGTTAAAGCTGTTTTGACTTAGTGTGTTTGTGTGACTGTTTTACAGGAGTGCACCAATGACTGCTGCAATGCCAATAACTGCACCTTGAAGGAGGAGGCACAGTGTGCCCATGGAGTGTGCTGCGAGGGCTGCAAAGTAAGAAAAAAAAACACACACACACACATGCAGGCAGAACAGCGTAGGAGGGAGCTCACCTCGTTTGCAGTAGAACCTCAGTATCATTAGTTCACTGTCAGTCATCATGTCAGTGGGTTGACGTACTGTACCCTGAACGAGTGTCAGCTCCCATCACAACAGGGCTCTTCGACTTCACATTGCACCTACACTTTTCATCTCTCTTCTCATCTCGCTGTTCAGATGCACATCCTGACATCCCACTGTCATACCCACAACTGTGAACCCATATTCTATTGAGCCTAAACCTGACAGAAGAGACAAAATACTGAAGATGGCAATAACATATGTACTCTGTAAAAGAGGAGCTATTCTTCCTCTCATTCTGTTTGTGTTCTTCTCTTGGCAATATGCTTATCCTTCTATACACAGTCTCATTTTACATGCTGAATATGGAATGTATTTTCATACCCTGCATGCTTTTCCACTGCTGTTCTTTTACACATTACTACGTTTTATGTTTTTATCCGTTTATTTTTACTTAGCCTCTTTTTTAATTACTTTCAAAATTTCCCTCAAAGCTGCACTCATGAAACCTTTTTTTTTTATATAAATAATGGATCAAATGACTACATGTAATGTGAAAGGTTTAGGTCTGAGTGTAACTTTTTTTTGCCTCTTTTAACTGTTTTGGTATTCCAGTCCACAAACTCTGCCCTTATCAACAGCAGCAGTCAGCTGTTTCCAGCTAAACAGCTCAGATAAAGCCACTGTACACTAGCTGCCCAGCACCAAACAGCAGACACACAGTTAGAGGCTAGCTGGTAAACACAGCGGAGCATATAAAGCCAGACGTTTTTCTCATGAGTTGGTGGAGACCAAAACAGAGCTAAAAGAGAGTGAATGTTAAGTCTAAACATTCATCAGGTGGACACAAACACAACTGCAAATGAATGCTGATGTTCCTCTGAGTCTGCTGGATGTTTGATGGGTCATATTCCTTATTAACACAAACATCTGATGTCAGATATATTTTCAGCCTTTGCTGCCCCCAAGTGGCCAAAAAATATTTTATGCCGCTTTATGTTTGTTCAAGTTTAGTAAAACGTTGTTCATACTGTACAGTATAGCAATAACATATAATGTATATACTCATGACTCCATATTTGCATCAGTGCACTGAGATGTTTGAAAATTCAGCCCGACATATTTAGTATCTTTTGAAACTTTTTCTCTTCACTGGAATTTAAAGTTATGTTCTGCAGTTTTGCCCATTTTCACCATTTAAACAGAAATAATAAACTAGATTTTTTTACAACTACTTTTTGGTCTATCTACTACGAAACGGTCCACAATGCATCATTCTGTGATCTTCATTTTGTTTTAGATGTTTTATGCTCTCCCCTCCCTCCCCCTCTCCCCTCTCATTGCTTGTTCCCTGTCTCTGCCAGTTGAAGCAGGCAGGTACAATGTGCCGGGGCCCAGCGGGTGCATGTGACCTGCCAGAGTACTGCACCGGGGCCTCGCCTTACTGTCCTGCCAACGTCTACCTGCTGGACGGCTCCTCCTGTCAGTACGGAGTGGCCTACTGCTACAACGGCATGTGCCTCACCCACGAACAGCAGTGCCTGCAGCTCTGGGGCTACGGTAATGAAAAGTCTATTAGCACACGATACAGAGCATACGCCGATTCACTCAATAT